CGTATATGACCTCTGAAATAATATTAAAAACCTTAAATAATATTAAATCTTCTAAAATTACTTCCCGACTAATCCCCGTATAATAACCGATTAATGCATTCGGCGCTAGGCGCTGCCCCACCGCACGCGTAGCGCCTAGCGTAATTTTGAACCTTGGTTATAATTACTCTTTTGACGTCAAACTTGTTTTATTCAAAATGTTCACCTTGTAGAGCTAACCAAAGAGAAACTATTGAGAAAATATAGAAACTTGTGCATGAGTTTCTTTGGGAAAAATGTCTGACACTAGCACTAAAATCATGAAATAAATGATAATGAAAACAAGGTGAACATGGAAGATAGATGAATAAGTTCATGCCATTCTAAAGCCAAACATGTGGTCTTCGTCATCAATCAGCTAGGCATTTGTGGTCCTTGGTAGGGTTCAAGTCTTTTCCTTCGGATCATTTATTCTTATTGTAGACCGAGCAAACGTTGCTTTTTCCTTCTTTTGTAAAATGTTAAATAGCAAGCAATTCTTATCACACTTTAATCATTTTATTAGATTTGAACTGATGCCTTCTACACCATATCTAAAATATAAATCGAGTTGGACATGATAATTAGAAACATTTACTTCTAGGGACACATTTTGAGTTTGCAATTACATATAAGAACACAACTTGATATGACACAGCTTTTTTCTTATACATTGTCTATTCTATCATTTAAATAAACTAACTAAACAATTTTTTTTTTCTAACTAAACAAAATTGTTCCCATCACCAAACTCATATATCATGTTTATTTCTCTTCTATCTCAAATCTTTGTTTCAAAACTTTTTTCTCAAATCCAATAATCCCTAATGTTTCGTCGGATGTATCCATGCATCCGATAAACATCGTCGTTTGATGGATCTCTGTTGATAACGGATCTAGTGGATGGTGGTTTCTCCACCTTGGTAAATCTGTTTAGAGGCAAAGGTACCTTGATCGCATTGAATCTGGAGTGGAACACGGTTGATTAGGGTTTTCAAAGCGTCGTAGCCTCAACGGCAGGAGCGGAGGTTGAGTCTTGAGGCTAAGTCTTAGGATCCGTTGTTATAGCCATGGGATTCCTCCAGGAGTGGCTCTGATTTAAAAGCTTCAAAGACGCCGGATCTGTGGATTCCTGAGAAACATCTCAGATATGATGTAGCAACCATAAAACACATACCATCGACCAAGCACTCGTCCATGAGGCACCATCCACATGCTCTCATCCACGATGAACCCGTACACAACAATAGTTGTGGACACGTATGGAAGATATGTTAACTGGAAAAGGTGGTGATAATGATCCCCGTATAAGAAACAATGATGGTGATGGCTCATGAAAAAAAATTGTGGTATAGAAGAAACGCGAAGGTGGTGGTAGTGGGAAAAACGGGACTGTGGTGAAGGATCAGTGACAACTGTCGATCAAGCTCTCGTCCATGAGGCACCATCCATAAGCTCTCATCCACGATGAACCCATCCATAAGGACGGTTGTGGTCAGTGGTTGAGCTGATATTATTGAGTTGATCAGCAGAGTTGCGAATGGAGCTCGATGATGGATACAAAAAATGGTAATATAGGTGGAAGAGATAGTGGAAGTGATGATTAAAACAAAGATGATAACTGAAAAGGGAAAAATGATAATAAAGATAGAGGAGAGAGACACTCATTCAATCTCAAGCTGGATCCAACCAAATTAATGGCTTTAGTGTCTTACATTTCTTCTCTCTCCTTCATAAACTGTCTTTCTTTTATAATGTGTCTTTAGGTGTTAACAAAAGTCAAAATGTGTCTTTTATTGTAACCGTCTCTTATTATTAAATACATCTCTGTTTGTTATGATTAAATTAGATAAATAACCTAACTTGGGCTAGTGGTTTATTACCACATTGCGCTTTGCCCGGTTAAAGAGATAGGAGCTCCGAACCTGCAGAAACGAGATCCTTATCCGGTCTAGGGCTGGTATTGTTAGTTCAAAGGTATTAGTGTTGGTACTTTCTGTATGATTTTTAGCTGGGTCTAATTCAAAATGTCAAACTGTTACTAAAGTGGAGCATCAGTGAAACTAACCTTTTAACATTGTCCAAAAGAAGACTGATTGTTGTTAATATATAACATTCACGTGTTAACCAGTTTCTTTCAAGTCTAAAATATTTAAATGTATCAACTAACGTGATGTTTCTTTTGACTTTGCTAAGGACGACCAGTTTTTTAGTAAAATACAAACGACTTGAGAACTTTGATTTCAGTGGGAAAAAAACTGCATATTTTAGCAAAAAAACTAAAAAACTGCATAACAATGCAATAATATTAACATTTTTTGGAACTTTTTTCTTCTTCCTCATATTTATTTGATATAGCACGTATTATTTCAAAATTTACATGGGGCAAAGATGTGGTCAATTAACTTTTATTTTTTGTGAAATTCCTTTAATTTTTCCTTATTTGACTTAACACACTATTTCAAAGTTTCTTAGGCTGCAAATAGTTTCAACTTTTCAAGTTTATATAGTACTTGGTTAAAGAGAAAGAAGAAGTTAATAAGTAGAAATATAGCCTACTAATTGGATTGTGTTAGTATTGTGTTGTTTCACCACCAGAATTTAAATTCACATAAGTTATGTTTTTGGCAAAGAACTAAAAAAGAAAATTTCATTAAGTAAAAGTTACATTGCATGTCAAAGCAATGAATATATGTAACTTAAACAAAAATGCTTAAATATATCTTTAATGATAATTTGACGAAACATATCACTAACAATGTTCACCAATGTCCACCAGTGTTTTTGATTCAGATCCCACTCTTTAACGGTCTGGTTCATATTATTTTGAATCTATTGTTGACGAATCATATCATGAAATGCGGTAAGAACCCATTTCAAATATAGGCATGGCAACATATGTTCTAGAACCAGCATGAACAAGAGAGGAAGACTCCATCGTTCTTATTAAGAATCTCAATCCTACGATTAAGATTCTTTAGGTACTGCTCAATGAAATTACCAAAACCACCAAAGTTACTTCTCTCAATAATGGATGGTGAAGTCGTTTTATCTGAGACTGTATTCCACTTCTCTTGGGTGCTACTATCAATCTCATTTTGGGGCTTCGCAATCTGCCACTCGGAAATAGGCCTCGATCGAAGTCATGTTATATTGCACTCTGCTTCCTGCAGAAAACCACTATTAGACTTTTTGTGAGATATAGTAGAATTCCTGCAGAAAACCACTATTAGACTTTTTGTGAGATATAGTAGAAGTATGAGAATTTATATAAAAAACTTGCGAGAACAGTAGAGAGAGATGAAATATTTCAATAGAGAGAAAAAGAAAAGAGGAATATTATTTCCTTGATTGTTTCAATGGTGGATACAAGGTAATACATTTATTTTTCTAGGACAACTAACATAAACAAAATTACTATTAAACCCCAAATTTTTTTATCTTTTCCTTTATTATGTCAACACTCCCCTTCAAGCTTGATCATAGGAACTAGTCAAGCTTGGACACCATGAAGCATTCCCTCATTGAAACCTTAATCTGAAAAAATCCACTTGGGATAAAAATCAAATCAAAGTAAAAGAGTAGAACATTTCATAGTCAAGGGGATCAGTGTGAT